CTATGATGGTTGGTTCTGCATATTTATCACCAAAAACTGCTGTGAATGTTATAGCAAACACAGAAGGGCTCTACCCTAGAGAATAAATGTGGTGTTAAAACATTAGATTAGTGGTTTGAAAACTTGGTTGTACATCAGAATTCTCCTGGAGAGAAAAATGCATATTCCTCATTCTGTCCCTGAGAGACTGAATGTGTGTGTCTACAGTGGGCCCAGGTACCTGTATTTATATCCAGCACCTTAAGCGATTCTGATGCAGTGATCTAGGAGCACATCATTAGAAGTGCCAAGTGCCAAATTCAGAGATGAGGCCTCCCTCATTGCTCCATACCCAGGCATATTTTCCTGCTCATGTAACCCAAAATATCTTACAAACAGTACTTTTAAATTATTGGTGTCAGCAGAAAGTAGCACAGGCATAGCTAACCCAAAAGAGTAGTTTATCTCCCGCAAAGTAAGGCTTTTTTTTTGTTTGTTTTAATGAGTTTTGTGATTTTTCTTAGATTGAAATCACCATTTACTCATCTTATTGCAGTAAACTTTGCTTTAGGTAAGTCTGAGATTAGGCTAGGTTCCTCATTTTCTTCCCATTTTTTGGATTTTTTAAGATTTTACTCAGTGATCTAATTTGTTTTGAAAAACTAAAAATAATACTTTTTAAAAAGAAACCTGACTTGCACACAATTTAAATGTATATTATTTAGTCAACTTATAGGGGAGAGAATAGCTAACTACTTTACAAAAGAATTCCTTACAGAAGAACTTGCTTCCCTGAAGAAATACTGTAAGCACAGATCTGCCTAGTGTTTTCAGAGTTTCACTGAAGCATTCGACCTAGGCTCGATGTGCATGGAAAACATTTTTCTTATAAAAGTGAGCCACACCTTCAAAACAGCCATGAATTTCACAATCAACTCTTGGGAATGGGGAGAGAGGTGGAAGGCAGCCAGGCAGCCATGAAGCATGCTTAGTTTGGTATTGAAAGTTTTTCACCAGAATTGTGTACTCAATGTGGAACATCATTGACTGTTAGCTCACATGTTAACTGTTTTAGGAGACAGTCCTGCTGAGTGCTGAGTATAATATAAAGACTTTAAAGGACTCAGGTCTTATCAAAAAGACAAAAATAAACCCCCAAACCCTCAATCTAAAGAGAAAAAGGAGATGTGCTGCATCTCCTGTCATTTGATGGTGGCTCCTAATGAAACTGGAACACTGAAATGCATTAAGTGCTAAACAAGAAATCCTTCCCAAATACTTAAAGACAAGAGGAGTCTTTAATAAAGACCTGAGTCAGAGAGCCCAATAATTTATCATCTCTCCGAACCACTAGGACGGGCGGGAGAGGCTGTGGTGTGTGCTTCCCGCTTCTTGCAGCTTGCCCTGTCCATCTCTGTCTGGATGGAGTAAGTGCTCAATTCTCAGAAAACGACATATTGGAACTGACAGCCTCACTATTGTGTATATAATATGTCATGGCTGACAGATGAAGCACATTGCAATGGGATATAGCCATCAGCCAAGGCTGGAGGAGGCCTTGTTCTTTGGACCTCTTAGAAAGCGCTCCTTCTGGGTCCTCCCTGCCCCTTCTCTGCAGCCCAGCTGAGTGAAGAGCTTAAAGCACCAATCCCTCCTCCCCCCCACCGTTGCCCCTGATCCTTTGTTTTGCTTCCCTTTTGTCCACCCCGCACTTTGATTGCTGAGCACTCCCAGCAGGGCAGATTGCAGCTGAAATGGTAGGAACAATGCGATCAGGCAGTGGTCCAGGGAAGCACCAGGGACCGGGCATGCTTAACTGCATTACTCTCAGCTGGTCTGCCCTGGGTGTAAGTGAGCAGGCCCCCACCTTTCAACTGCCAGGGTGAAATCTACCCTTCTGACAGTCTCATGGCCTTCTCCAAAGGCAGAGTTAATTGAAAAGTGAAACAATTAGGAGATGGGAAAGAACTAACAGTAAAAATTGCATTGAAGGGGAGTTACCTTATAAGCTCCTTTCGTCTTTAAGTATTTGGGAAGGATTTCTTGCTTAGCACTTAATGCATTTCAGTGTTCCAGTTTCATTAGGAGCCATCATCAAATGACAGATTAGTGGTGTATTGTCTTTTGCGTGCAGCTGTATATTTTGCCGTGGTAATAGGCACCTCATCCATTTATCTATTTATTTAACAAGCATTTATCGAGAGCTTTCTGGGTACTTGGCTTTGTAGTAGGCCTTGGGGATAAGATGATAAGTCTCTGACCTCAAAGTACTTATAGTGTAGGAAAAGGAGACAGAAAAGTACACAAATAAATGCCACCTAACAGTATAAAGACTGTGATAGATGTCTTTATGGGAGGCAGTGGCACATGTAGGAGATATACAGAGAATAAGAAATTAGGCTCAAGGCAGCCAATGTGTTTGCAGACAACATGTTGCAGATCATTTATCTGACTATTGACTAAACGAGATACTTGTAGTAAAATGTATGTTTCTTCATTCAATCAGTAGATTTTTGTGGAGTGCCTACTGTGTGCCAAGTGCTCTTCCTGTACCTCTGTGATGGTGTGTACAGGCAAGAAGGTGAGATAGGCATTTAATTCAATGAGCAGACAAATCAAATGTAAAACTCAAACTATGGTAAGTACCACAAAGATATGTTACATGATTTCATGAAAACTTATATTAGGGGTATTTCTGTAAGGTAGGCGAGTCTCCCAAGGATTGAGCCAGAATATGAAGAAAACATTAATTAGGGACTCTGGTAGGTACCAAGAATGAGATAATGGAACAAGAGAGGAAAAAATGGTAGGAGTTAGGGCCCAAGATCCTGGCCGGGCATCACCATGGAGCCTCTCCCTGGACTTTGGTTCCCAGAACTAGAAAAGTAATGGAGGTAGAGGTGGGAAGAAAGAAGGCTACTGCAAGTCTTGTTTTACCCAGGTCCAAAACAGTCACACCTTTTGTCTCACTGTTATTTTTAATAATCACTCCTACTAACCCTCAAGATGCTCCAGTATGACTCATCATACACTGATATCCTAAGGAGCAAAAAACTTAACCTCCATGAGCTCCTCTAAACCTGTGATCCTGTGAGTAAACACAGAGTGCCAGCTATGGTCCAGAGCATAAATAGAAATTAGCAATGCCCTGATTCATAAAAGATAAGTAAGTGGCACTTAATATTTTATGCCACAAATAAGATTTCTATGTTGTTGTTGAAAATGGAATAGCAGCTTATGTCAGCAGCAGTAATGCTAGTAAACACCCTCAAGTGGTAGGATTAATTCTCTATATGTTGATGATGGTAGCGTTTCTACTGTGAGTTGCAAGATGAATAAAAAAATTAAATAAATTGTTTTCTTAATTTTCCCCTGGGTATTTACAGGCTTCACTTGAGGAAACTATCTTATGATACTTAGAAAATACTGTAAGTATAAACAGGATTTCACAAAATCAGGGAGGCAGGAAATAACCCTAGGGATTCCAGAAGCTAGTGTGAAGGAAATCCTAGTTGCATGACTCCCTCGAATTGTCCCTGTAATGCTGTATGCCATCTGTGTTTTGACTCTTAGCAGGGGCTATAAGACATGTTTTCCTATAAAGCATAAGTTATATAGCTTCAATGAAAAATAGATAGAGATAAAATGAGATATAAAAAGATAGATAGATAGATGGATGGATGGATAGATAGATAGATAATTACCAGCCAAAAGTTTCTAAATTCATGAAGTCAATTATCATATACTTCTTAGAGGGATTATTATTCAAAGCGTTCTTCACTTTACTAATATTTTCGCTTCTTTAATAGTTATTAAGCTAATATATCCTGTAAGTTTACTACTCTATAACTTGGGCTTATAATAAACCTTAAGGAATGCTTCTTTGTACTAGTAGCATGGCTTAAAATCCATCTGGAACGGTGAAAGAATATTTTTATTAAAAATAGCTTTAAAATCTCCAAACGATGCATTCATTCTCCATTCCCATTGTGGTTTTGTAGACACTGATTATGTTATGACTCTAGCACCAGGTTTAGCTTTTAATTTTAGCTGGAGAGAGTCAGTCCTAAGGAAGATGCTGGAGACATTCCTTTAGAATCAATGAAGGGGAGACACAGTTGACAAAGTTCGGAGGAGTGATCTTGAATGACAATGGCTTTTTTTCCTGACATTTGTCTAGCAGTCTCAAGGTTCCTTTTGAAACTATCTTAAGAGTTTCCTCAAGAATGCAATAAGTGCATAATATAAGTTTAAAGATTCCTTTGCACGCTCACCCCCAAACACAGCAACACTCCTAGAGTCCATAAGGATTTGAAGGCTTAGGACAATTCTTGTATGTTTCTTTTCTTTCCCATTTCTTCTCTATGCTCTTGATTAGTCCACTTTCTCCCATGTAGGAGTCACCCATCTCCCCTTAATTCCTCAGCCTGGGCTGGTTTTACTGGTTAAAGTGGTTCCTTATAAGCTACTTGTGCAGAGATGTTGAACTCTAAGACCAAGTACAAGCTCAAATGAACTGGAACAGGAGGAAGTGCATACATTTGAAGAGAAACAGGGACAGAAATAAGAGGCTGCCAGAGTTAGGTGAAAGAACACAGGGAGTCCGGAAGTTCCAATTCTCTCCTGGGATTTGCCCTCTTTGGCAGGACTCTCCGTTGTTCAGGTCTCATCTCAGCTTCTTCAACTGTAAAAATGTAAAAAGGCATTGGGCTAAGTGACCTTTAGGGCCCCTCCTTCCTCTCTCTAAAGATTGCATTAAACCAAGGTGGGTCAAGATTCCTCTTACTCTGGGAGAAAAGGCAACAATTAAAGCATGCTTACTGATATTCAAAACCAGTGCAATATATCTTTACCACTTCGATTGAGAAAACCTCTGTAAAACATTCTGACAATAAAGGTGGCTCTTCACGTAGGTATTCATTTCCAACTTTCAGACTTTTGATGTTAAATATTAAGTAGCTTCAACATGCTCATCTTTGTTTCTCTCTCTCTCTCTACCTTTTCACTCCACTCACCCCTAGGCTTACGAGAGGCCCCAGAAACATTCAGCTCTCCATTATGACACAGGCCTCCCACAGGACTTCACCGGTGACACCTTAAAACCAAAGCACCAGCAAAAAAGCAGCAGCCAGAACCACATGGACTGGTCCACCAACTCTGACAGTGGACCCGTCACTCAGAATTGCTTCATCAGTCCAGAGTCTGGCAGAGAAACTGCAACCACCAGCAAGATCCCAGCTCTTGAGCCCGTGGCTTCCTTTACAAAGGCCCAGGGTAAGAAAGGCAGTGCAGGGAACACGTGGAGTCAGTTGTCTAACAGTAACAAAGATCTGCTCTTGGGAGGTGTGGCTCCATCCCCAAGCAGCCATAGCTCACCAGCCCCACCCAGCAGCTCTGCTGAGTGCAATGGGCTTCAGCCCTTGTTGGATCAAGATGGAGGAGGTACAAAGGAGCCCCCAGAACCACCTACTGTGAGCAGCAAGAAAAAGTCCAGTAAAAAAGATGTGATAATTCAGACCATACCAAACCCAGACCTGGATTGGGTCAAGAATACCCAGAAAGCATTTGACAATACAGAAGGGAAAAGGGAAGGTTATTCTGCAGATAGTGCCCAAGAGGCATCACCAGCCAGGCAGAACGTGAGTTCTGCCAGTAATCCTGAAAATGACCCAAGTCATGTCCGGATTACTATCCCCATCAAGGCACCCTCTCTGGATCCAACCAACCATAAGAGGAAAAAGAGACAGTCCATTAAAGCAGTGGTGGAAAAGATCATCCCAGAGAAAGCCCTGGCTTCTGGACTCACTATGAGCAGTGAAGTCGTTAACAGGATACTTTCCAGCTCTGAGGGGAATAAGAAGGATCCCCGTGTCCCTAAGTTGGGTAAAATGATAGAGAATGAGTCCCCCTCAGTTGGCCTTGAAACTGGTGGAAATGCTGAGAAAGTTATCCCAGGAGGTGTGTCTAAGCCGCGGAAGCCACCCATGGTCATGACACCTCCAACGTGCACAGATCACTCTCCATCAAGAAAGCTGCCGGAAATCCAACATCCAAAATTTGCTGCAAAACGAAGGTGGACTTGCAGCAAACCGAAACCCAGCAGCATGCTTCGAGAGGCAGTTATGGCCACCTCTGATAAACTGATGCTGGAGCCCCCGTCTGCGTATCCCATCACCCCATCCAGCCCTCTGTACACCAACACAGACAGTCTTACTGTGATCACTCCAGTCAAAAAGAAGCGGGGACGACCAAAGAAGCAGCCTTTGCTCACAGTTGAGACGATTCATGAGGGTACTTCCACCAGCCCCGTCAGTCCCATCAGCCGAGAGTTTCCTGGCACTAAGAAAAGAAAGCGACGCCGCAATCTAGCGAAGTTGGCCCAGCTCGTGCCGGGAGAGGACAAACCCATGAGTGAGATGAAATTTCACAAGAAAGTTGGAAAGCTCGGCGTGTTGGATAAGAAGACCATCAAAACTATCAATAAGATGAAGACACTAAAGAGGAAAAACATCTTGAACCAAATCTTGTCCTGTTCCAGCAGCGTTGCTCTGAAGGCAAAAGCTCCCCCAGAGACCAGCCCTGGGGCAGCAGCCATTGAAAGCAAACTGGGCAAGCAGATTAATGTCAGTAAGAGGGGAACCATCTACATTGGCAAGAAGCGGGGCAGGAAGCCAAGAGCAGAGCTGCCACCCCCATCCGAAGAACCCAAAACAGCCATCAAGCACCCCAGGCCTGTTTCTAGCCAGCCGGATGTTCCAGCCGTGCCTTCCAACTTTCAGTCACTTGTGGCGTCTTCACCAGCAGCTATGCACCCACTTTCAACACAGTTAGGTGGGTCAAATGGCAACCTGAGCCCTGCCAGCACTGAAACCAATTTTTCAGAGTTGAAAACTATGCCAAATCTCCAGCCCATCAGTGCTCTTCCAACCAAAACCCAAAAGGGAATACACAGTGGAACCTGGAAGCTGTCTCCACCGAGACTGATGGCCAACTCCCCTTCACACCTGTGCGAGATTGGCTCCCTAAAGGAAATCACGCTGTCCCCTGTGAGCGAGTCCCACAGTGAGGAGACGATCCCCAGCGACAGCGGCATTGGGACAGACAACAATAGCACTTCTGACCAAGCGGAGAAGAGTTCAGAATCCCGAAGGCGGTACTCTTTTGACTTCTGCTCCCTGGACAACCCGGAGGCCATTCCGTCAGACACCAGCACAAAGAACCGGCATGGCCACCGGCAGAAGCATCTCATTGTGGACAACTTTCTGGCCCACGAAAGCCTCAAGAAGCCAAAGCACAAGAGGAAACGGAAAAGCCTGCAAAACCGCGATGACCTCCAGTTTCTGGCAGACCTGGAGGAGCTCATCACCAAGTTCCAAGTGTTCAGAATCTCCCACCGGAGTTACACCTTCTACCACGAGAATCCATATCCCAGCATTTTTCGTATTAATTTTGATCACTATTACCCGGTGCCATATATCCAGTACGACCCGTTGCTCTATCTTCGTAGGACTTCAGACTTGAAGTCAAAGAAGAAGCGTGGTAGGCCTGCAAAAACCAATGACACCATGACAAAGGTGCCTTTTTTACAAGGGTTCAGCTACCCTATTCCCAGTGGAAGTTACTATGCACCCTATGGAATGCCTTACACATCAATGCCTATGATGAACCTTGGTTATTACGGTCAGTACCCAGCTCCCTTGTACCTATCGCACACGCTTGGAGCAGCCTCCCCATTCATGAGGCCAACAGTGCCACCACCTCAGTTCCACACAAACTCCCATGTAAAGATGTCCGGTGCAGCTAAGCATAAAGCTAAGCATGGAGTACACCTGCAGGGACCTGTTAGCATGGGCCTCGGTGACATCCAGCCTTCTCTGAACCCTCCCAAGGTTGGCAGTGCCAGTCTGTCCAGCAGTCGGCTCCATAAGAGGAAACACAAACACAAGCATAAGCACAAGGAAGACCGGCTCCTCGGGACCCATGACAACCTGAGCGGTCTCTTTGCAGGCAAAGCCACAGGCTTCTCCAGCCACATCCTGAGCGAGCGGCTGAGTAGTGCAGACAAAGAGCTCCCGCTGGTGAGTGAGAAGAACAAGCATAAGGAGAAACAGAAGCACCAGCACAGTGAAGCCGGCCACAAAGCTTCTAAGAACAACTTTGAGGTGGACACCCTGTCTACACTGTCACTTTCTGATGCCCAGCATTGGACACAGGCCAAGGAAAAAGGAGACTTGAGCAGTGAGCCTGTGGACTCATGCACAAAAAGATACTCTGGCGGTGGTGGGGATGGTGGCAGCACGAGATCTGAGAACCTGGACGTGTTCAGTGAAATGAACCCTTCTAATGACAAGTGGGACAGTGACATGAGTGGGAATAAAAGGAGGAGCTATGAAGGCTTTGGGACGTACAGGGAAAAGGACATCCAGGCTTTCAAGATGAACCGCAAGGAGAGAAGTTCTTATGACTCCTCCATGTCTCCAGGTAAGGCTAACTTTTTCTTCAGACTTGGACTGTCTAGTTATTTAATTGCTGGGCTTTGTACCTTAGACACATCTGTGGCATGTTGTGTTCCCTAGCTTGCAAAGAGGTGGGAATCAAATTTAAATGGATCTCCTTGCACATTTGAGTTTGCCGCACATTTTATAGAATGTTTACTTGGTATCTACTACCTTTCCTCTTTCCTGGAGCCATTGTTTGAGAAACTGTGAAGCCGTAACCCTAATAGCTGCCTAGGCTGCAGTCATACACACTACAGTTATGTTTTTTATTAAAGAGGCTGTTCTTGGGTCCTCATCTGATCGAATGGTACAGTTTACTGTTTGCATATAGCCTCTCAAACTTATTAGGAATACCAATAAGATCCAAGAATGCCAAGCCTGGAAGGAAATGACTAGCTTGTTTATCTGGCATGCCAGCTCCAGAAGTCGCACATCTTATGTGAGAAGTCCTCTGCAGAGCCATTAGAAGCTGATGGCCAGTGAATCCTGAAGTCTAACTGATCAGGTAGCCACAGCCCTGGGTCATATTGTTTCCATTTTTGCCACGGGCATCGATAAGCTGTCCTGGGCAGTCCCCTAAAATGAAGACTTGACTACGTTCAGATACTTGTCATTTTTGTGCACTAAGTGGAAGGAGACAGGCTGGAAGGTGGTGTGTGCCTCCTGCTTCCAGGAGACCTTATAACTGTGTCTCTCTGCATACCCACTAGAAAGGGATTTTTCTTACTAATTTAAACTGAATTGTTGGTTGCTACTAGAAAGACCCTATTCCTTGTCAGTTGCTGTCATAATTTCCTTGCTAACCTCCCCAACCACACAAATCCTGCCCCACTTTTAGGGCCTCACATTTCTGCAAAAGAATCCCTTTGACCCTGGCCTTACAGCATATATGGTAAGACTCGTATAGAAGACTAGAGCATATTATTTATTAGGAAAATAGTAGAAACTTCTTACCTAGGAGATGCAGAAGCTAAAAAAAAATTATTATGTTCCCCCTGCCCCCAAATAATATAAAATGCTCCGACTAAAGCCAGGCTTTAAAAAACCAATCATCCATTTGTTTAAGGTTTCGTGTAAGATTTCACTTCTGTGTATGATGTGTACCACTCACTTCTCCTCTCCCTTCCCAGGGAGCCCATATTTCTTGAAGGCAGGAATAGTCTATTCATGAAGAATTAGAGACATTTTCTAGGCCAGCAGATTTCAGGAAGAAATATGATTATGAGGTAGAAACCACTTAAAGATCACCCCAAATTACCACTAGCTTGTGAGTTGTAGTGGTAGATGTTCTCCTTGGTTAATGAAGAGACCAATTAGCAGTCACATCTCCTGCATTTGCTCAAGGTAATAAATGACCTACACTTTGTGTCTGCCCAAAGTGGACATGCTCATCTGGGCTTCATCATTTCTCATCATCAGACTTTGTGGAAGGTGCTTGGTTTTATGCCGAGAGCAGACTAAGCCCACCTGGACAGGATCTTGCATGACATATGAGAAACACTGTTGATCTCTTTCAGCATGATGAAACTGATTCATGGGACTTACTCTAGCTGTGGACAGAAGATGTTATTTTTGTAATTGTATGAGCCTTATTTAGCTAGAAAATAATGATGAGGGGTTATTGTTAAGAACCTACAAGCAAAAATCCTAACTTAACAGACCCAAAGAGAAAAATCTCAAGAAGCTAAAACCAGATGTTCTTGCAAGTTAGGTTTCTCAGCAATTTTACCAGGATTTGTCTGTGGCCACGCTGTATTGCTGAGTGCTGGTTGACTTCATAAAGTTTCCCAGCTGGGGCTCACATCCAGTCATTGTGTGCCCCCACTCTAGTTGTATTGCTTTTCATATGTTTGCATTTATATAACGCTCATCACTTCATTAAAACTCCTCCTCATCCCTGTCGCATCTTCTCCTCTGATCTTCTGCCAGACACTCGAGGTGTAGAGAAATAGGTATCATGACAATGTCATGAAAGAGAACTGGATTCCACCTGAAGAACTGAATACAAGGTCCAACTCTGTTACTAATTCTCTGTGTGGCCTTAGGCATGGATTCCACTTCTTTCAGGTACTGTCTGCCCATCTGTAACTTAAGGGGTTGGGCCAGACCTCTTGTGTATAGTGTGCCTCCATTTTGAAAGCCAGTTCATATAAGTTTCTGTGTAACGCCCTTCCTTCAATCTTAGAAGGCTGACACTTTTATTCCTATATTTACAGATCAGGATACTGAGGCTCAAAGAGATCAAGTGAACTCTCTAGGTTCAAAAAGCCATTGGTCTTGATTCTAAGCCCAGAACTTTGCCTGCTGCATTGAAGCTTGACTGCCTGTCACTGAGCGAGTGAAAGCTATATGTAGAACACAGCCCTTGGTGCCCAGTCCAGTGCTCCTCTATGTCATATCTGTGCTTTCGGAATCTTACTCATCCTCAGATCACATGCCCTTCCCTAAGGTGTCTGCACAATGATTATGTGATGATTATAGAAGAGAGTAATTAAGGAAAGAAGAAATCCTTTATTCAATTCCTGACCAGTGGAGAAGGAATCTTTATGGCCTTACCTTTTCTGAATATCAGCCTGGAGGCACACCATGGACAGACATAACTTCTACCTCTGTCCTTGCTAACATCCAGCTCTCTGAGTTATTTTTGCCACTGTTTTGTGTCTATCTCTGTCCTCTATGAGCTTATTTTTTTCCCGGAACTTTGATGAATCATAATTGTTGGTGGCTGCTACATCTCTGTGAGCTATACCTGATGTTCCTGCATATCTCATTGAGCTTCTTAGTGAGACAGACCAGATTCCCTCTTATTCCCCTCCATCCAAGCCTTAGCCTCACATTGCCTATATCTCGAATGTCTCCTTCATTGCTGTGCCCCCAAAGCATGAGAGAAAAATAGCTTTAGCATCACATAGAATCCAATGTCAGAGTTTGTCAAGACTCCCTGAGGAGCATTCACCTTATGATACACACTGAAGAGTGCTAAGTTCCATGAAAAGACAGGAGGCAGATGAGATGAGGCTGAGCCTACTAGATGCATTAAGAGCTTTCAGTGACTTTATGTGCATGAAGGTGTGTATTCAGCTGGTTAATATTGAGGGTCATGATAGGAAATAAGCATCTGCACTTTCTATAACTTCTCTCCCTCCACCTTTTTCTTCTTCACACTTGATTCATTTCCTTAGCATCTGAATGTCCTATTTCAAATGAGCTATTCTTCTCTAAAATAGATACAGTATAAATATAGATGTCATCCTTTAGCCTGTTGAGTACCAGATTTAGGAGCAGAGTCAAGAGAAGGCTTTGAGTGTTCCCTAAAATCAGAGCTGAAAAAGACACCATATAAATGTGAGTCATTACCATTGTGGAGAGAGGAATTAGAGACCCTATTTAGCAATAGCAGCAGTTGTACACTCCATTTCCTTTTTCTTGCTTGGGAAATCTTTCATTTGTCTCCCTGGCCCAGCAGATGACTGCATTATCTTGTTAGCCCTCTTCCGATACACCTAGAGATAGGATGCAGTACGGACTCCTGAACATTTTTCTGTATTTTAACTTCTCCTTTTTTTGGTTTCAGAATGCAGTGGCTCTTTTGGCCTGTTTTCTAAATGCATACCATCTGCTAAATGTCCATTTATAAAAATGCTTGCCTGAGGCCAGAAAATGGATAAATAGTGGGAAGGTGCAATCTCAGAATTGGTATAAGCCTTATTGGCCCCTATTTGGGCCTCTCTGTGGGCAGGCATTGCCATCTCTTGCACACTAGCATGCAGCAGAGGGCCAGAAGAGCAAATGCATAGCCCAGGGATGACAGTGCATAGTCAGAATGATGCCATGTGCCCTCAAAGCCAAGTTTTCTTAAGGCGGTGGAAGAGTGATGAGTGACGTTTTCTCTTCAGACCACTTGGAAACAATCTTTGCATACTCTGTCCTAAAGTTATGCCAGATACTGAGACCTCATGACAACTGCTGTCCAAACTCCTATCAGATAATTTTTAAAAAACAGTGAGATGACTGAATCTACATGTGTACCTCTTAGTTTCATGCCATTGTTAAAAATGTGGCCATCCCAAGTTCCCAAATGTCAAGTACTTTCCTCATGATGAGTGGAGGCTGAGAACTGATTCTGAGCACACATCTCAGATATCCAAATCCTGCCATGTAGGTAGCTGGATTCCTTGGTACCCGGTCCCCTCCACCTCTCCCTGTGCCTTCTATCTTGCCCTTTGCCAACTCCTCTTATCAACACTGTAGAAATTAGAGGAGGCAGTCTCTGCTGTCACTCACTGGCAGGATATGGATGCCCAAGCCAAAAATAATACAAAAATCTCCTTCAAGCAGTCATCCAGATGAGGGAATTAACCACATGCATGAAATGTCATGAAAACTATGTGAAAGAAAGCTTTGAGGATCATTTCCTTAAAATGGAATAAAAGGAAGAAGGGGACTAATGGAAGGAGAAAATTAGGACCAGGAATAAAGAGAGTAAAACCTGGGAAGCTGATGAAATACAGTCTTTTTAACCTTAATCCAAGTCCAATTCTGAGTCCTCTTGTGGGAGGAAATGAAAGATTAATTCGCTAATGGCTACCGTGCAGTTTACATAAGATTAGGAAGATCTGTCCAAGTCTTATCTCTCACACTCACTAGCTGAAAGACCTCTTCTGTTTTTTGACTTTCAGTTTTCCAGAATGGGACTATGACAACGAAAGTTCTGATCAGATCTGATAGTCTAGGATTCTAAAAGCCTCGAATTTATGCAATGGAATTTCAGCATGTACACACACACACACACATACCCCAGACACACGCACAGGCAGAAGTTGCAGAGAAAATATCCCAGTTATTGACCATGTTGACCAAATAATTAGTTGTTCAATGAAGTCTGAAAACAAATACCACTGGTTGTATATTCATCTATGAGACTCAACCCATTCATCTTTAGCTCTAGCCCCTTCACTTAACCATTGGATTTCTCCTTTGCAA